TCCTCAGCAAAAAAAATATAATTTTTGTCTATTTTCCATAATTTACAATTAGAAAATACGAGTAAAATAGTCTAGTTATATAGGAAATACCTTAAAATGTTGAGAAAAAAGCTCCCAAAATATTTTTCACAATGGGACCTCATCTTACCACTAATTCACTGCAAAGCAATAAATAAATGAGAGGGCAAAAATAATCTGTACAATATTTCAAACTGAATGTTAGTTAGAGTCTCCTTAAAGGTAAAGACCAGTATTGGAAACGTCCCAGTTTCAAAAAATGAAATGGAAGCTCTCATTACCAATCATGTGAAAGAATATGTTTTGAATAATACATGATGATAACAAATTTGCCGGGAAACCGCCTACTAATTCATATATTTGGTAAATTTGTTTCTCTCATGGTCTGTGAGAGATATAGGGTAGTCCCATATACATCTTTCTGTGTATAGTGCTTGTAACTTTACGAAGAATGGGCCACATTTCTTATCATTTTGATGATTCCAGAACCTTGTAGATGCTAGATGCTAGATGATCAACCTTTTCTGATCGATTCCACAACGTTTCTTTCACAATGCAATCGCATGACCATAACTGGTCTTTACCCTTAAAACGTAAACACAAATATCCATATCCATACACAATCCATATCATAAACATAACTTTTTTCAGAACTGCTTTGAATATTTGCACACACTGTCAATAATCCACTCAAGCTGCTGGGTTACATTCTAGGTGCAGAGGTCAAGAGCTGATTTGACCTTTGACACATGACCCATGACCCCTAGCTCCTGTAGAAATGCATTGGATGTTTACAGATACCATGTTTGATGTGGGTCTGATCCTACATGAATTGGTTTAGGCATCGCAATATTGTTGTCGAAGGAGTATTTGTAATTTAGAACAACAAAAAGTTATTCAGAGGCTGATTTCTTTTCATGTCAAGATTTTTATTGTAATGTAGGCCTATAATCTTGAAAAATTATAACAGTTTAATGGGACAATGATGATGATGATGAAGATGATGATGATGATGACGGCGGCGACGACGACAGCGACGACGACGATGATGATGAAGATGATAGTGATGATGATGATGATAGTAATGGTAATCATGAATGATGATGCTGATGCTGAATTACAGTGATGACCGTAATGATGATTATATTCTTAACTTATCTGATAATGAAAACAAACTTCTAGGAGATAAATCAGGAGACTCAACTTGACACTGGAATATTTCCGTACAGTAGATCAGTATATTTGGCCTCTATATGCCTCACCTGAATACATTGTCTGCAGAAAAAAAGTGAAAATTTATGGGCTAAAATAATCCCACCATCTCTTTCTTCCTCACTCCCCACCAACTCCCGAACCCTGCAGTCTAGAAAGGTTATGGATTAGATTCCTGAATCAACACGAGAACCAGTTTGACATAAATAATTTGCCACCCACTTTTTACAAGGCATAATGGATGTCAATGCTGGGTCATGGATACAGCAGTGAACACTTCCATGCGTCTCAAATTTAAGCTCCCAAGAAAGAAACAAAAAACTTTGAAAATCGGGTGGTTGTAATGTTTGTAGAAAGCAGTCTCTTGGATGCTTGAAAATGAAAGTATATAGCAGATTCAAATTAGATTTTACATTGGAATCCATGATTAAAACATTAAACACTATTTCCCTGTTGGAGCCTTCTGTTGCAGCTAACTATTATGCATTTAAATGTTTAAATTGGGGGGGGGGGGAGGGTCTAGACAATTTGGGGCATCCATGTGTCCCTTGCACTCTCTATTGTACAGCCCTGAATTGCAGTAGGCCTACGGTACGTGTAAATTCACTTCCTTCAAATAAGTAAAAAGAGAAATAATAATGACATGTGTATTATTTCATATCGATGTTTTATTGCACTCATTTTTTTGTAGGATCCTTCATACTCTGGGGTCAGTTTGTGAAAGAATGACAACTATTGACAATATTAAAGAATTACAGATACACAATTTTATTGGGGGGGGGATGTTATACAGGATACCTTTCTCCAGCCGAACCCCTGGGCATACATTTACTTACCCACAGGTGGACAAGGGACATGAGCAATTTTGTTTTATTTTATTTCATTTCTGCATTTTTCAATAACAAAGAACATATAAACGTAAGGTATAATACAAAATGTACAAACAATGATAACTTCATGTTTTTTTGTTTTTTTACATATGTACATATAATAACGAAAATGAATATATCTATACCATATTATTATAAATAAATTTAAAGTATTATTCAAACTATCAGTTGAAAAACTGCAGGAGACTGCAATTATAAGCGAAGCTTGACTAGGTTGGTGGCCTCAAAAAAAAAATTTGAGCAAGTGGCAATTGCAACACCTTGGTTGAACACCTGTAGGTTATATTTGGCTTAGCAATTCTCAAACTTTTCTTTTGAGAGCGTTTGATTTTTGAATTTTGCGTGTCATTGATGAAGCCATTTTTATAATCAGTCATCTTACTTGTGGTCAAGCCAAGTGACACAATCTTCAGTCCATTTCCTCAACTATTGGATTTAAGCAGCTGCTGCCAAATATTTGATGTGTTCAGATCCATCGGTTAATGTTTCATCAGTCATTCGTACTGATATAAGATGTGTAAATTTGATGTGTTCAGAATTTCAGATCCATCAGTTAACGTTTCATCAGTCGTTCATATCGTTATAACATTTGTGGCGATCCAACATTTTTGAAGATTCATGATAAAAGTTTTATTGCGCATATAGCTACCAGGTATACAGAAACTTGTATTCCATTTACGTTACAGGCAATGTTAACATAGATACAGACTGCTAAAGACTTTATTAATTGTCAAAAGCACATTGTATAGGATTAAGGTTATGGTTGCAGGTGGGATTCAAAGTCCATTTATGTATTCATTTGGCATATCTCCTGCACCTGGACTACATCTGTTCGGTTGTCAGCAGAAATAGGTCTGGATGATCTTGTCAAAGATGAAAATCTGGTTTGGCAAATTACTAACAGGCATGCAAACTTTGGGGAGCAAACTTTAGGGAACGGCTGCCAAACAAAATCTGCATCGTTGGTTAATCTCAAGAATATAGCATGGAGACCATGGTAGAGGGCTTGTTGGTATGTGTTGCCATGGTGATGATGTTGAGGATCGAGTAATAACAAACATGAAGATTGCATGAAACTGAAAGGACACATTAAAGTGCATCAATCACCAAAATGGGATTTGTTCTTAATGTATGGGGTTGTATTCCTCAATAACTTACAATGGTATTTTTAATATATTATAATTCAATATCTATTTCAATTTCAACTTTTATTCCAATAATTCAAATCGCCATATATCAAATATTTAAAGTTATAATAAACACAATGCCTAAAGTAATTGGAATGATAATAATAAGTTCTTGTAAACATATTTATAGAACAAAAGCAAATTTGGAATGGGTAGTCAGAATTATAAAAAGTGATTTGTCATAGACTATCACCAGTAACAAAGAAAGGTTTATACAATACAGAAAGAAATACATATACAGGTATTTCCATATCCAAGTAATGTATGCCAATGGGAGGTTCTTACCAAAAGTTAGAAGGGGGGGGGGAGAAGAGACAGAACATAGAGGAAGAACTACAACAACTACATCTATTTATTGACAAAATGATGGGCTATTTATCAGGAATAAATTAAAACAATGAAGAGCAGTTTTTTATGTTATGACAATTCTATATAATAACACCATTTCAAATCAAGTTCTGACAAAAACGCATATACGTATGTCTTAGAACCACCAGCTTATATCATCCAATACTACAATATTTTGAAATGTAATGTTGCCACAAAATACACAAAACTTGCCAAATTGGCAAACTCATTGTGGAGTATCATATATTGAATTATGTCAGCTGCATTTATTCAATTTTCAAGAGTTTTATTTTCTGGACTCCTTATCTGTCAACATGGTTGTTCTGCCAGACAAATCTAATACAATTTGTAACATCCTATTCAACAAAATGAAAATGTTTTCATTGCCAAAATTGCAACCGAGCTTCAGACTTCATGGCAAGGGAGACAATTTTCTCACTTTCTTTGTTGTTGTTGTTGTTGATTAAATGCACATACTAGGGCCCCATTGCATAAAACTTATCACTGATGGTAAATTTGCCATATCAACTACCATGGCAACATTACTCAACAACCATTCAAATCAAAGTTTCCATGGAAGTTACCAATATGGCAAAAGTACAATCCAAGTTTTTATGCAACGGGGGCCCCAGTTGGTAACATAATTATTTTAGGTTTTATCTTTCCCTAACTTTTCACCCTCTTCTTAACTCTTTTACTTCTCACAAATAATCTCCCTAAGCCACCTATTATATATCATGTAAAAGATAAACCAAACACTTCAAGATTATTTAACTGTAGGCCTATCCAATGTGATATTTATCTGTACTGGGGGTGTTTCATAAAGCTGTTCGTAAAGTTACGCATGACTTTACAAACGACTTGTACATGAAGTGCCAGATAGGATGCCCAAAGTTTTTTCTGATATTTCCAATAACCTCAATTCAATTTTGGCAAAAATAAACTTTGCATTAAAAATGTTATAATAAGAATGTTAATCTACATCTGCACAGTTCAACTTTAGTTGATGCAGTAAATAAATATTGAGCATCCCATTTGGATTTTCATATACAATTTCAAATTTCAAATTTCAAATTTATTCATGTTTCCAACAAAACATTACAAATCAATTATAAGCATTTAAAACAAATTTAAGAAATACATGTCGTAAAGTCATGCGCAACTTTACGAACAGGTTTATGAAACACCCCCCTGGTGTTAAAAGGGTTTTCACAGAGCTAATCAAGACCCAAAAATGGGAATGGCCCATATTTATATATTTATCTTAGTATATGGCATTATACTTTTTGTGCAAATTTGTCTAATAATCCTGTTTGTTTCTTCTTTTTTTAATCTTTTAACTCAGGCTGACTTTTGTCATATACGTCACTCACTGCTGCTTCAAGCAACTCTAGGGGGCGTTCTTCTCAGCATACGCTTCTACGCAACCGGCCTCCAGCCACCCATTTTCGCCCCCGCCGACAACCCAGCATCTGTTTCGCCGAGTCTTCAGACACGAACTCTGACCTTTTTGTACCTCCCAGCATACAATGCGTGGATGCTGTTGTGCCCAACGTTACTGAGCTTTGATTGGTCGATGGAATCTATACCGCTCATTCAAACAATAATAGATTTGCGGAATTTATGGAGTATTGGGCTTTACGCGACATTGGCAGTGCTTGGATATCTCTCGTTTAAAGAACTTGATAATCTCCATGAATTAAATACACAAAGTACTGGGAGATTAAAGAATGTGCCTTGTAGGAATGACACAGCTGGATGCGCCAGCTACAGATATCTTGAGCAAAACCCAGCGCCATCGTGCAACGGCGTTACGCAAAAGAGCAATGGGAAAGAGATTAAATCTTTACGCAATGGGCATGCGAAGAAGAGCTTCATACCCCCGAAAAGAGAAAACAATAACTCGTACCAACGCAGCAACGGTTGTGACATAATCCGGAAGCGGCACTCACGGTATTGCTCGTGTAGTCCCGAGCGATGCGGGCGTCGCTTCTCAAGAAGCAGTAGCACCAGTAGCAGCGGGTCGATGAGTTTCAGCGACGAAGACGTCGTCGAGAGGACACGCCTACTCAATGTCATCATCGTCGCTACCTCTTTTCTTATCTTTCCTTTCCTCCCCGCGACCAACGCTCTCTGCTACGTCGGCTTCGTCATTGCGGAACGAATCCTCTACATCCCAAGTGTCGGCTTCTGCCTGCTGTTGGCAGAGGGCGCTAGTCAGATCTGGCAGAGGTCTTCTGACTTGGGACGTAAGCTCCTTGTTGCGTTGGTCATCGTTCAGTTGTGTCTTTTTAGCTTTAAAACTGTTCTCAGGAACCAGGAATGGCAGACAGAAGAGACCCTCTACAGAGCAGGCATCCAAGTCAACCCACCAAAAGGTAAATCAACATTGTTCGTTCGTTTGTTGATTCATTTCATTTTCATAAAAAACACAGCAAAAGCAAATAAACATACAAGTATATATCCATACAAAGGCAGAGAATGTTCAGTTTATACGATAACTTCAACTGAAATAGGAGAACAAAGGAAAAGCCCATGATGGCCTTGTTTAAAAAGGTTCCCCTGAATATTATAATTTATATTACTGAGTATCTATTAGTTAAAGGGAAAGTCCACCCTGAAATTAAGTTAGTTTTAATAGGAGTAGAAAAATGAGAGAAACAAGTCAGTGAAAGTTTGAGCAAATTCCGATTAAAAATAAGGAAGTTAGGATTTTTGAAGTTGTGATCAATCAAACACAAATTGGCAACTCTATGACGTATCATGCGAGCTCAACTTCCATTTGCTCAGTACTAAAAAAATCTAAAATTTTCATTTTCCCTCAAGAAAAATTTCAACCATACATGCACCCTAAATATAATAATTGCAAATATGTTTCTATACTCCCCCTGCAAGGAACAAATATATATTCCGTCATCAATAACGAAGAAAACATGATTTTATGGAATATTATGCACAAAGCAAATGAAGGAGAGCTCGTATGATAAGTCACAGAGTTGCCAATTTGTATTTGATTGATCACAACTTCAATAATTCATAACTTTCTTATTTTCATTCAGAATTTGCTCAAACTTTCACTCACCTGATTTTCTTATTATTCTGCCTCTATCGAAACAAACTTATTTTGGGGTGGACTTTCCCTTTAAAGATATCACAAGAGTCAGCGATAAACACAATATAAAGACAAACAATTACAAAAACATGTGTGAAGTAATGTAAAATTGGTAAGGTAAATTCAGTGGTACTCTGAATACAAGGTCAGTTTCATTTATTTTTTAAACATTGAACTGTTTTTATATAAGCGTATGACTTGAGGTAGAGTGTTCCATATGTTTTTCAAAGTATTTCTTACAAGTTGTTTAGAGAATGAACTTTGAATTGCTTATCCTCATGTTGTGTGATTATACCATCATCATCATCATCATCATCATCATCATCATCATCATCATTGATTATTACTACCAGCCAGTGATGGTAGTTCCTACTGACATGGCATACAAATGTTAATAAGAAATTTTACCCAAAAAGGTGTAATATTTTGGGGGGATGTTCATGAATATTGATTTGTTTGTGAACATCCTCCAAAACTATCCCTTTTAATTTTAAAGATAATGTATTTTTTTGGTTTTATTTCACTAAAACAAAACACAAAATTTTGAATGGACAATAAATACTTCATGTCATTAATTTCATTTTATAATTTACTGTTAGGGTATATATGTCAATTATTAACTGATAATTACTCGCAGATCTGCATACAAAGAATTAAATACAGGATGGGAATGGGGTAGTGAAAGCCCCTGTATTGGTTTTTCAGCAGTGCTGTCTTCCAAGTTCTGCCACATTGTACCATAACTGAACACTAGATGGCGCTATTGCAACTTTGATCTATTCCAGTTCAAGCTATCTTCATGTGTATTCCTTTATTTATTTTCCCTATTATTCTTCATTTTTCCAGCTCTAGGGAACTTGGCCAATATCTATAAGACTGCAGGTAGGATACAAGAGGCTGAAGATGCTTACCGGAGGGCCCTGACATATCGCCGGAACATGGCGGATGTGCACTATAACCTGTAAGTCCAATTATGGTCGATAGCAGAGGGGATGTACATTTACAGAACATGTATTGGGTCATGATAAAATAATTTGGTTTATTTTATAAAAACAATAATAGCTAACATTTGTATAGCGCTGATCATACTTATCGTTTCAAAGCGCTTTACATTAAATATATAACTATAAAGAAAAACTTAATAAACATAAAAACGTGAGGTATAAATTCTTAGCGCTTTATATGGAATAAACAACTTATAAAGAAAAAATTGATCTTTGAACAATTACCCATGTTTACCACTTCATACTGCTTTACCATAGGGCCCTGCTTACCCCAGCAAAACCAGGGCCCCATACAGAGTTGATATCAATCCCAACTATGTGTATAAGAGATAGGAGACTGCAAACTTGCGAATGATTAGAGGACTTACGATTGATTTGGATCAATCGCAACTCTTTGTAAGACAGGTCCCTGATATCCATGTAATACACCTAGGGTGTGTTGCACAAAGCAATCCTTCCATCAATTAGTGCCTTTTTTGTGCCAAATTGCATGTGTGACAAAGGACTGACCATGCAGAGAGATGCAGATAGCACTTGAAGGGTTAATTGTTTTAAAACTTGTAAAATCAGTCTCTCATCTCTTGCTTCAATCTTTTTTTTTCTTCATCCTACACAGAGGTGTGCTACGACAAGAAGTTGGCAGATTTGAAGAGGCTATCGACTGCTACCAACTTGCTATTAAATGCCGTCCACGCATGTCAAGTAAGTTCAGTTCAGAAGTATTCTCGCTTTTATTTTACACGCAAACCTGTCTTACCCATGTGTCTTTCTAGAGGGTGGCACACAGATCTGTCTATATGTCAACCTTTAGAAAGAAACATGGGTTGTGGACCTTGTCTAGAAATGTAACCTGTCTACAGTTGCCAATTTTGTGTGTTTCCCTTGAGTGGCCTTTTTAGACAGGTTTCACTGTAATTGCTAGAGGCATTCTTATTGCGTTTGTATTGATTTGATAAATACAAACAAATAATCAGATTTGTGTATGCCTACTACACAATTTTGAAGAATCAAGTGTATACCACAAAGATCTTTACTTGAAGTGCATTCAGTCATGCTGAGACTCGAGGTGAATGCGTTCCAAGTACTTTTCAGGTTCATTGACTTATTCCAAACTTTGCTTTGTAATTCCTTATTATCAACCCAGTGGCCCATCTCAATCTGGGGATTGCCTTGACGACGGTAGGGCGAAACGTTGAAGCGGAGGCGGTGTACAGACAGGCCGCTACCCTAGATGATGCAGGACTGAAGGACCCTAGGGGGCAGATGCACGGGGTCGTCTCTTCCCTCTTCAACCTTGGAAGACTACTCCAGGAGGCAAACAGACATGAGGTATGGATTTGATTTGATTTGATTTGATTTATTTCTGTTCGATTTTTTTTTTCTTTTTCTTTTGCATTTTTACAAATATATAACAAACAAACCATTGCAAATTTTACACATTTCAAAAGTTTATAATGTCGAATAAAGTAAGGCTGGCTGTAACTAATTGAGAAAAAAATCAAACAGGAGGGTTGACAAAATAAGCAAAGCTTGATAGCATGACTACCCTCAATGGATACATAATAATACGAATATGGAGGAAAAAATATTGGTAAAAAAGGAGAGAGAGAGAGAGAGAGAGAGAGAAGAAGAAATAGAAAGTGGGGGTGTGCATTTAAGATTCACAGATGTATGTGGTACAATGTAGATGGAGAAGGGAAAGATGTTGTTGGTATCAGGGGAAGGAGGAGGATGGTGATGATGGTGGTGGTGGTGTGAGAGGGGTAGGTGGTGAAGATGGTGGTGATGATGATGATGATGATGATGATGATGATGATGATGATGATGGTGGTGGTGGTGTTGGCCATGGTCATGGTCCTGATGATGATGGTGGTAATCATGAAGATGAGGTGATGATTATTATGATTTTGACAAACATGAGGTTTATTTTACATCAACAATCAAGCTTTTGATGTATCTTGGCATTTACTTCCAGTTCCACACGACATATTATTTTATTTTTTGTTTACTATTCCAGGATGCCTTGGTTGTGTTGGAGGATGCATTGAAGAGGAAACCAGAATACTACCCTACCCAGAGCCTGTACAACATGCTTGGTAAGGACATCTTGATTCTTGTATTTATTATGATTGAGTTTCTCTCTTTATAAAGCCCCACTGCACTACTTACAGCTACTTGCTCCCTCTATATAGCAAACAATGCCTAAGCGGTGACCGTTGGTTCCCCATGATCCCCTTTTTATTATGTTAATTGAGAGCTGATTTGATGAGATAACCCCCTGTCAGTGACCTTGCAGGAAGGTCTCAACCCTCCTGACCAAACTAGTGCAGATGGGCTTTAAAAAAAAGAGATCTGTTCAAATATTTAGCAAATCATGGTCTGAACATCTATCACAATGGATACAAAGTCAATAGTATTTGTTTTCTTTCTCTGTCGCCTTTATGATATCTTCGTTTCACTTTCATTTGTATTTGGTTTGTTATATTCCCAATTCTTGAAATTGTCTGTTTCCTGTTTTTATCTGGGAATAATGTATGAAAATATTTCAAATATGGTATATCATCTCTCTTTCAGCTCAAAGGGGAAGAAAGGAATTTTCTAAAAGGAATACATAACAACTTTATTTGACTGCTGCTTCTCTTATAAGAAAAAATATGTCTAAGATTAAACATGATCAAACTCACTAATTTTAACAATGGGCAATTTTGATAGTATTTGCACGTATATTCTTACCGACAATCAATTTACAATACATTTATCTTTGTTTTGTTTACTCTCTCTTTCATTCTCTCTGTCTGTCTGTCTCTCTCTCACACACACTCTCTCTCTCTCTCTCTCTCTCTCTCTCTCTCTCCCCTCTCTCTTTCTCTCTCTCTCTCTCCTCTCTCCATCTCTCTCTCTCTCTCTCTTTTCCTCTCTCTCTGCAGGTGAGACACAGTACAAGCTTGGTAACCTTCCGGAGGCAGAAAGCTGGTTCAAGGAATCACTACGAAGCAAAGCAGACCATGTACCTGCTCATCTGACCTATGCAAATCTTCTTGGAAAAACGGTAAGTATGAGAGAGTAATAAACGTAGGAAGTGACTAATCTCCTTTTGGGATCTTCTCTGCTTTGAAAATCTACATATAAATAAATACTTGAGTCACAATACATAAATAGTACAGAGTATATTATTCAGATTTATGGGGAATTTAATAGTCTATATGTCATGGTACTAGTAACAAAATATATCTTGAAGTTGTCTTCAGTACTCCTGTAAAGTAAAAAACGTTTGCATCCAAGAAATTTCCATAAATTTTGCAAGTAATCCATATTTGCTGACAATATTAGATTACAGTATTGCAAAATTCCATGAAAATGGCCGTCGTAAAAAATTCATGTTGCAAAGTTTCTGGTTTACAGTTTTCTGGTATATTAGGCTCACCTGAAGTAAGATTTTTTTTAAACTCTGTATAAAAGTTTGACAGTTATTTTCAATAATCATCTATATAAATATCTTTTTTTATTTTAGAATCGAGCTACTGAAGCTGAACGGCTTCTTGAGCGAGCAGTCTCACTGGAGCCAGAAAATGCAAACGTTTTTCGTCACTACGGTAAGAACCTTCACAAGTCCATACCTGCCAACCCTTACAGATAATACAGAATATTCTGTTTTTCTTTATTTTTAGGACCTGAAAATCTGGAATATTCTGATTTTTCAAAATGTTGATGTGCCGCGATTTTAAAGTTCTTGTATTACGTGCGTTTAATGGCTGCATGATAGAGCAGCGAGTTTGTATTTGCTTTTTGGTACAGATTTACCGCATATTGCCAGTTACGCTGCCGCTGCAAGTGCGATTTCTTATTTTTGAAGGCATAACGTGCTAAAACTTCCTAATTCTTATTTCCAAATGTTGGCAGGTATGTGAGTCTGCAGTCAGTGCTTGGGAAGATAATATGATTTCTAATTCTGCGTCAGTGACCCTCCCCCACTTGACTGCCACCAGCACATTTGAAAATAAAAAATAGGGGTTCATCAGGCCAACCCTAATTATCTTTTTACTCCTATTCTGGATCTAGCTATCAAGCCCAGACTAGATCCTTGAAGGTTTTTGGTAGGCCAAATTTGCTCCTTGATTCAAAAGTATTTGGATTTACCCCTCCTCCCAAAAAGAATAATGATTAATCAAATGTTGTAAAGTAATAGCGATGATTACTACTACTACTACTACTACCTGGTATCAAATAGAGGAATGATTGATTTAATATATCAAAATATGTGATAGATCATTTTCTATTACATTATGAAATTGAAAAGTGAAGGGATAAATAGTAGGTAAATAGATCTATAACCTTTTCATCTTTTTAAATCTCAGGACAATTTTGGCATGACCAAGGAGATTACAAGAAAGCCTCCAAGTTCTACCACACCGCCCTCAACCTGCAACCAAACGACTTTGAGATAACCTTTAACCTTGCCAACTCGCTCCGACAAGCCAAGGATAATGAGGAGGCTGAGGTGTATTACAGGGTGGCAGTCGACTTGAAGCCTGATGTAAGTCATTCATACCGATTCGCTTATTATTTTGTCGTATGATCTGGGGGTAAGTACTGTGTTTTACAAAGACTAAGATTGACTTTAAGTTAGTCTTAACTATGGCAGGCCATTCATGCCACTGTTTGCTGTCATCGTTTACTGGCATTGGTTTCTCAAGGGACTATTTTTTTTGATAATTCATTATTGAAGGAAAAAAATATCATTTAAGGATGCCTTTTGTACATCAAATTTCATGTTTTTCCTTCTTTCTTGTGATTGAGATAATGTACTCCCCTGAAATCAAGATATAGAATGCAAAATGATATTCTACTTCACATGTTATGAAGTCGGATCAAGAACACAAATAAATACGAAGAAAACAAAAAAATCGTGAAATTTTATGTACAAAAGGCATGGAGAGTTGTTCACAGATGATGTCATCAAATTGAATACCGCCCTCTAGTGACTAGTCATTTCAAAAAGCCCTAACTACTAGGCGTTGTGGCGTGCGCCTGTAATCCAGCTAAAAAGTGGAAGTTACAAACTGATTCAGCCGAGGACGCAGGTTCGAAACTGAGTCACGTCTTTCGGATGGTGACGTTTAAAGGTCGGTCCCAGACGTAAATAATCATATCTGATTGATACACGTCTGTAAAAACCCAATACACACACACACACACACACCTAACTTTCTTATTCCTTGCCCGATTTTGTTCAAATTTTCACTGATTTTATTCAAATCTTTTAAACTTTACAATAAAAGTAACTTAGTATGAAGGTTTTGGTTTCCTTTAAGTGTCTTACAAAACAGTTTGCTGTATCAATGATTTTTAGCTAGCAACGTGGCACAAAAGATTTTGGTTTGTGTCATTGAAAGAGCTATATATTCACTTTTCTTCTTGCATCCAGGTTGCTAATGGCCATGTCAACCTTGGTGCCATGCTTCACCTAAATGGAAAGCTTGAGCAAGCTCAGGCAAGCTACCTGAAGGCACTGTCCTTGAAACCTGATGACCCAACCAGTCTCCAGAACCTCAAGAAGCTACGCAACCTTATGGCCAAGAAATCACAAGCCAACAAACAACAAGAAGAGTCTTGAGCAAGCCCAGGCAAGCTACCTGAAGGCACTGTCCTTGAGACCTGATGACCCAACCAGTCTCCAGAACCTCAAGAAGCTACGCAACCTTATGGCCAAGAAATCACAAGCCAACAAACAACAAGAAGAGTCTTGAGCAAGCTCAGGCTAGCTACTTGAAGGCACTGTCCTTGAAGCCCGATGACCCAACGAGTCTCCAGAACCTCAAGAAACTACGCAACCTCATGGCCAAGAAATCACAAGCCAACAAACAACAAGAAGAGTCTTGAACAAGGACAGAAAAGTTACATGAATGCAAGAGGTCTCCAGAACTTCAGCAAACTAGGTAAAAGCAATAACAGTCTGTAGGAAGACTATAAAAGCTACTGGAAAGCGACAAGTTTCTACAACTGTAGCAAACAAGGGAAAATCGATAAAAATCTTGAGGAAGCTGATGGCCAAGAAAGCACAAGCCACCAAGCAACAACAAGTTGAACTAGCCCAGGAAAGTTCCCTGAAGTCAACAAAGTCTCCAAAACTTCTGGGAAGTGTGAGACACTATGGCTAGGAAATCACAAAGAACAAGCAATAAGAGTCTTGAGGAAGCATAAACAACCTACTTGAAGCATTCCCCTCCATACCTGATGACCAAACCAGACTCAAGAACCTCAAGCATTTACGCAACCTCATGACCAAGAAAATCACAAGCCGACAAGCAACAACAAGAATCTTGAGTAACCTTTAAGTACTCCGCTTGAAAGGTGACAGGCAGCATTGAAAGTCTTGAGGAAGTCCAGACCTGGAAGACACTGCCCTTGAGACCTTTCAAGACCCAACGATTCTCCAGAACCTCAAGAACCAGCACAGGCCAACAAGCAGCAAGAATCTTGAGTTGCCTGAAAGTACTTCACTTAAGAGGTGAGAAGCAGCAATGAGAGTCTTGAGGAAGTCCTGATCTGCTTCTGGAAGACACTGTCTTTGAAATCTGTCAAGACCCAACAAGTCTCCAGAACCTCAAGAACCAGCACAGGCCAACAAGCAGCAATGAGAGTCTTGAGGAAGTCCTGATCTGCTTCTGGAAGACACTGTCTTTGAAATCTGTCAAGACCCAACAAGTCTCCAGAACCTCAAGAACCAGCACAGGCCAACAAGCAGCAATGAGAGTCTTGAGGAAGTCCTGATCTGCTTCTGGAAGACACTGTCTTTGAAATCTGTCAAGACCCAACAAGTCTCCAGAACCTCAAGAACCAGCACAGGCCAACAAGCAGCAAGAATCTTGAGTTTTCCAAACACCATTAAGAAAATAATGAATCTCAAGGCATAGAAATCTCAAACCACCGATCAAGAATACTCTTGGAGTTGCCTCTAGTTTTTGTACTTTCCAAACATCTTTAAGAAACTTATCAATCTAATGCCTTGAAATCTCAAACCACCGATCAAGAATACTCTTTGAGCTACCTCTAGGTACTCCTCGTAAACTCAGGCTACTACTCCTGACAGCAGAACTGCAGAACAGGGGTGTGTTTCACAAAACTTGTCATCAGTGATAAATGACAGTTGTTGTTATAAGTTACTGAAATCATTGCTTCTGATTGGTTATCAGCAGATTTGAATTGAATTGAATTGGTTTGGTTTATTGAGAAATCACTTCAAACAAGCAGCTCACAGGCTGACAATGTTCAATTTACAAACAAGTTAAAAATATAGAGAGATATAAACATATACAAAACTAAAATACAAATGTACATTTTTGTCACTGATATTTGTCATTTGTCATTGAAAAAGGCTTTGTGAAACAGGTCCTAGAACTACTACAATGAATAACTTATGATTGACTTTCTAAGTTCGTGTAGATCTTGTGTGTGCCAAGAGGCCATGCAAGTGATATATGATATCTCTGTTCAGGTAACAGTTTGACCAAATCTTCCATATTTGACATCTACCTTTTGTCATCTCTGTCTTCTATACTCAATTTATTGTCATCAATATTTTATATGGATTTTCTTTCCAGAGAAGATCAAAGATTGTTTAAAAAGAACGACTTGAATTTCTAGAGATAGCCCATGTGTTCTTGAATCCAACATCGTATTGTAATCTTCAGTATATTTTTTAATATTTTGTATGCATAGTAACTTATGCATAACAGCTTAAAACATTTCTTGTTTTCTATAAGTTTGACAGAACAAAGTGCAATATTTAACATTATATCTATCCACCTATCACAAACTATGTACATACTTTGTCAAAGAATGATTAATGAATGATCAATGAATGATCAATGAATGTCAAATTCTGACGGATTTTAAATTTGTTAAACTCCACATTATGCATTATTCATTGTAAGAACTCCCCAAACAAGAATGTGGCATGTATAATATGGAATGAACCAGATGTAACAACTTCATTTTCCATGAAGACACAATTTCTACAAATTTTCAAACATTCA